AAAAAAAAGAGTCCAGGTCTTTTCAGAAGTAGAATTTGCTTGGCATTTCCACCTCCCCCCTCCCTCCCTGCCCAAAAATTAAAATCAGAAAAGTGAAAGGTTAGCAAGGGCTCATAAGAAGGAAGAATCAGATTAAATGATCATATATCCTGCATTCATCCTCTCTCTTTTTGCCATTCCCTGCCGAACGAGATGGGAGTTGGAGAAGGCTCACAGCTGAAATAGACGCTGCTGCATTTTGACAGCAGATATTTTCCAGTTTGCCATCCAAGGACCCTACGTCTGCATTTGCCTTGCTTGATTCTTCTACTTAGCAATGCTGCTCATGCAGAGAATCATCTTTAAAAAGCAGACAAATAGGACTCGCGCTCCCTTGCAAACTTTTCATAATTGCCAATGCAATTTCTGATTTAAATTCCTATTGACTGAGAAATCAATTGCATTTAAAACAATCGTGGCTTCTGTTTTTATCATTAGTCCAAAAAAAAAAAAAAAAAAAAAAAAAAAAAGCAATTATACATGTGAAGGCAGTCCTCGCCTTCAGCTCTCAAGCAACGAAAAAAGTAAAAAAGATCACCAAATTAATGCAGACAAGTTCTATGTATATTCAAGCAACAATTTCCACACACTGCCATGTTAACCTCAGAGCAAATATTTCAAATTTGATCACTTTTAAAAAGACTTAACCCTGAAGGATGGAATCTCCAGTTTGCAGAAAAGAGACCGATGGATTTCAATAACCAAGCTTTAAAAAAAAAAAAAAAAAAAAAAAGAGAGAGAGCGAGAGAGAGACAAGGGAGTACCTATAAATCCTTTAAAATAATTGAAGAGTCAGTGTGCAAAGGGGAAGTCTTCGGCCAATAAAGACAACCTCTTTTTCTAACAACTTTATGGACACTTTGGGTTTGCTCAGACAATGTTAACACTATGAAATATTAGCCGTAATGTTGCGAGCGACGGTGGTAAAGTCTCCATCAGGCTCTTGAGTCACTTAAATCAAGCAGTGGGAAAGTGAATGCCCATTTTTACACATCGTAACACTGGGGGAGGGAAGAGTGGAACACACACATGCGCACGCACATGTACACACACACACCCACCCACACACCCTCCCCACTGTGAACCACAAAACTATGAGATTTTATTCAACAAGAGGTTACACCCCATAAATAGCCTTCACAGCAGCGATTCTGAAGTAGGAAAGACGGCTAACTTCACCCAACTCCCATCATTGCACACTTATACCCTGGACCAAACCATGCCTGTGCTTTCCTTTTAGATGTGGTGCTCTCATCTTTGGAAAACCATTGCTTCCGAACTACAGAATCAAATCCAAGAAGATACTAAATAAAAGTACTGTTGGTACCTTTGTTTAGTTTCAAGTGTTATGAGGTTGTTTGTTTTAATATATAAGGAAAATATTCAGTATAAGCATAAAGCACAGTTGATGCATATCATTTTCAAGCCCATCCTAATTGACCTCTTTGTGGGGGTTTTACACAGCAGCCTCTCCATCCTAGTAATTCAGGCAGAGTGATTAAAGGAAGACAGCACCAGTCCACACCTAGATCTGCTCTTCGTTTTCACTGCCACACTTTGACCTACCATCTTCCCTGGATTTTAATCAGGGGATAAAAATTAAAACACCTCATCACTATGGGTATGCAAATACCCCCATCTTGTTATGATTCTCTAGCATCCGAGATTGCCTCCATGTATTATACTGGTGGGGGTGTTGGCACTGAGTAGGGGTTTTGTTGCTTTTGGGGGGAGGAATAGAGAGGGGGGGATTTCTGCATTTCCATTTGATCTAATCAACAGGGAATCACCAACCTGCAACTTTGTAACTGCTTCAATTTTGATTTCAGACCAGAGCAGAGCAGAGATTGATTGGGGACTGTTGGTGAAAAGCAACATTTCATAGACAATATTTTCAACACCCAAAATAATTAAGAGAAAGGAGGTGGGGACAGAAGAAAAACAGAGATAAGTATTTTTCTTGGCTAAGGGAAAATAAAAGGAGATAAGAAGAAAAGAGACTCAACAGATTTCTAAAGCATCTATGACACACACATATATGTTTCCCTTGCATTACTTCACAGGATCCTTTGCATTATAGACACTACTGTACATACAGGATCCATTACGTTACATTACAGAAACCAGATAACGAATGGCTTCTCAATAAGGTCAGACATTGGCAATGCAGCCTTAAGGACTTCAGAGACTTGAATGGCACTGCTAGGTGCTTTGTCTAGGTTACAAGCTGCACAAACACCATTTAACAAAGGGCCTCCTTAGTCATTTTATATATATTGCAAGAGTCAAGTAATCACATTTTCAATCAGCTGCTCATACACTGAGGCTTTATATATATTTAAAAAAAAAAAAAAAAAAGAGAGAGACAGACATTCTAGTTTCCGAAAGCTGTTCCCTTTTTTATGTGTAACTATCAATGTATATCAACTGGGCGTGCAATCATATTTATTGTCACTTTCGCTCATGTCATGCCCTTGCTTATATGGTTTAGATATGAATTATTGACTGTTACAGTCCTTGTTGTAAAAGGGGAGGAAAAAAAAGTCCAGTAGTTTTCAAGGTGTTAAAGTGAAGCAGTTAGATGAGAACACGGACCTGCAAACTGCGAATATAGTTGCATTTTCTTGGAACTTGCAGCTTAAGTACAGATTTAACCATTCTGGGAGAGAAAACAAAGATTTCAATATATAAATAAATAAATGGTGGATGTTGCTAAATGTCCTTCCCTGAGCATCTGTTGTTTAAGATCACCCTTGATTGATGACTGCTATTTTTTAATTGTTGCTTTTAAAATTTAAATACCCCCGTGGGATATGTTATAAGTGTGTTAGTACATGGTAGGAGGTCTGGAAAGTGGGGAACAGCAGAATGAGTGCTCTCATATTGTTACCTCCTTTAAATCCCGAGAACACCCCGTCATAAAAAAGCAGCGTCCAAAAAGTAACCAACAATCTAATACAGAGGTTTCCACTAAAGGCACTTGACTGTATGCTCTGTGTTAGCTGGCCCCTGTGACTGGCAGACATGGGAATATTAAACCTTTAGGAAAAAAAAAAAAAAAAAAGGACAGGGAAAGGAAAGAGTAAAAAAAACCAAAAACAAACA